GTCCCAAACAATTCCTCCCCCTAGTTGCCATTTACAATCTTCTGAGATGGTTCTGGCCCCACCCAGTTCTTAGGGACCCCTCATCAGCCTCGTCTCTCCTTTCTGCTGCTCAACGGTGGATTCCAGGTACAGTCACTCCAGAGCCATATAGCGCAGGAGAGGGCACAAGCCTGTTCCATTGTATTTCTTTCCCCCTGGGCACGACCCCTGTAAGGCAGCAGCAAGGGGAAATGCTGAACAGCTGTATGAATTCGAGTGTCGTATGTAAGACACGGGAGGTAATATCCCACTCTACTGGGCACCGGTGAGACCGCAGCAGGAGTGCTGGGTCCCTTCCAGGGCGCCACACTTAGGAAAGATGTGGACAAATTGGAGGGAGTCCAGAGGAAAGCAACAACAATGAGAAAAGGTTTAGAAAACCTGGCCCACGGGGAAGGTTAAAAACCCTGGACATGGTTAGTCTTGAGAAAAGAATTCTGAGGGGGGAACCGATAACAGGCTGTTACAAAGAGGACGGGGATCAATTACTCTCTGAGTCCACTGAAGGGAGGACAAGACGTATTGGGCTTAATCTGCAGCAAGGGAGATTGAGGTTGGCGATGAGGAAAAACTTTCTAACTCTCAGGGGAGTTGAGCACTTGGAACAGGCGTCCAAGGGAGGCTGTGGAATCCCTGTCACTGGAGGTTCTGAAGAACAGGTTGGACAAACACCCATCAGGGATGGTCTAGGATCACTTGGTCCTGCCTCAGCGAGGGGGCTAGGACTAGGTGACCTCTCAAGGTCCCTTCCAGCCCTACCTTTCTATGATTCTTGTTATCCCCTGAGCCCGTCTGAGCTCAGAGCACTGAGGGGGTTAAATGATCAGGTGAAGGAGAAAGAGGTTGTCCCTCATATCCCACCTCAGCCCCACTAGGGTGAGGGTGAGGCACCAATGGGCTCCAGGGCAAATCTTAGCCCCTCGGTGCTGTTGGGAGGAACGGCAACCAGGACACCCTATGGAGAAACGGACTCTCCTCAGCGCTCTCTCTGGGGTGCACAGGACTTTGCCGAGGGGGGG